TCCAGTCTGGGCGACAGAGTGAGACTCCAACTCAAAAAAAAAAAAAAAAATTTACTTATTTACTATAGAGTTGTAGGGTATAGGTGAGGATTTACTACATAAGTGGGCTGCAAGTAGGTGAAATTTGGGCTTCTAGTGGCCCTCACTCCCCCTGGTAGTGGACCAGGTGCCCTTTGTGTTGTTACATGCCCCCAACCTCTGCCCTCCCTCCCTCTCCTAGCAGTGTCCAGTGACTGCCAATCTCACCTTTGTGCTAATGTGACTAATGTTCAAGGCCCACTTATGAGTGAGAACATGTGGTATTCTGTTCTGTTTCTGTGATAGTTCACTTAGTATCCGTGGTCTCCAACTTCATCCAAGTTGCTGCGCAGGCCATGATTTTGTTTTTCTTTGTGACCGTATAATACTCCATTGTGTATATGTACCACATTTTCTTTATCCAGTCCACTTTCAATGGGCAGTAGGCTTGGTTCCATGTTTTTGCTATTGTGAATAGTGTGAATAAACATGTGTGAATTTTTTTTTTTTTGCTACTGTGAATAGTGAATAAACATGTGTGTGCAGGTGCTTTTTCGGTAGAGCGATTTTTGTTCCTCTGGGAATATTCCCAGGAGACAGACTGCTGGATTGTATGGAAGATCATTTTAGTTCTTTTAGAAATAGCCCCACTGCTTTCCACAGAGGTTGAGCTAACTTACATTTTTCACCAACAGTGTAGATGCGTTCCCTTTTCTCTGCACCCGCACCGGCATCTGTTGTTTTTTAACTTATCAATGATAGCTATCCTTACTGGAGTTAGATGATATCACATTGTGGTTTGAGTTACATTTTTCTGATGATTAATGAGGATGAGCATTTTTTCATGCTTCTGTTGGCTGCTTGTATGTAGTCTTTTGAGAAGTGTCTGTTCTTGTCTTTTGCCCACTTTTTTTTTTGAGTTGGAGTTTCACTCTGTCGCCCAGGCTGGAGTGCAGTGGCATGCTCATGGCCACCACAGTCCTGATCTACTGAACTCAGGCGATCCTTCCGCCTCAGTCTTCCAAGTAGCTGGAACTATAGGCACGTACCACCACGCCCGGCTAATTTTTTTGATTTATTGTAGAGATGAAGTCTCACCAAGCTGCCCAGGCTGGTCTCAAACCCCTGGACTCAGGCAATCTCCTCACCTCATCCTCCCAAAGTGCTGGTATTACAGGCTTGAGCCACCGTGCCCACTTTTTAATGTGGTTGTTTGTTTTTTCCTTTTACTTCCTTTGGGTTCCTTGTAGATCCTGGATGTTATGCCTTTGTCAGATACATACTTTGCAAATATTTTTTCTCATTTTTGGGGTTGTCTCTTTATATTCTTGCTGGTTTCTTTTGCTGTGTGAAAACATTTCAGTTTGATGAGCTCCTACCTGTCTATCTTAGCCTTTTTTTTTTTTTTTTTGAGTTGGAGTCTCAC